AGTGTTGTTGTTGTATACTACAAAAGCTCAGCTCTGCCCAGTGCAATTCTGGGTTTTTGGGGGTACCACCTCGTATTCCACATGTTGACCCTTGCCATCTGGCTAAGTTCTTCTCTGTGGTCTTATACGAAGGTGATCAGATTTTAACATTGGTAAAGCGGAACACCATTGACTGTGGGCGGGGGTTCGTGATTAAAAATTTGGTCTATATGGAGCAACAAAAATTTTCATAGAATGCAAAAATAGTATTGTAATATATTTTTAAAAATTTCAACATAAGTAAAATTTACAAATATAATACATTAAAATTATGTATAGTATTATTTTATTCTTTGGCATATTTCTCAATTGAATGAATTTTTTTTAGTAGATTGCTGTCGTTGTTTAAAAGGTCATGAAAATTTTCACAAGAATTTGTTAAATGATATTTCACACATAAATGGCTTTCAAAGTCTCAACACTTAATTGTGCTTTTTCTGATGTCCACACTTTATTTACCGTAGAAAAAACGTGTTCAGTCGCAGCATTGGTTCCTGGTAAGGACAGCGCGTATTCCACAATTTTTAGGCCATTATTGTATGGAACATGGTTTGTTTTAAAATGACGAAATATTTCTAACCATTCCTTCTCCATTGTGATTTTTGCTGATGCCCAAGATTTAACCTTCTCGTTATCAAATAGTGAAATAGCCACATGGCAGCCAAGAACTGTATATTCCCTTCCCGTTCTCCCGCCATTCCGTCACTTGTTGTGCATTCTTTCCAAAAATCGGGATTTTTTTAAAACGCCATGGGACGCGGGACAGTTTGTTAAAAATCGGGACTGTCCCGCCAAAAGCGGGACGTCTGGTCACCTTATCTTATACCTACTCTATCTTTGTAACCATTTCTCATGTCCTCACAACGAATGGGCAATCCGCTGGTTGGGTGTGAATGTTCTGTGCAAATCTATTGCGATCAAAGCCTGCTTCAGAATAAATCCTTTCTGTACAACCTTCATCTGTCAGCTCCTGCACGGTGTTAGTTCACTAAGGTCATGGTGGGCTGATACTCACTGACATTGAGCCAGTGTTGACTCATCGTGACCCCTGTGGGTTACCAAGACTGTACCTGATTATGGGAGTAGAAAGCCCGTCTCTCTTCTGCTTTGCTGCAGGTGGCTACGAACTGCCAACCATGTGAATCGCAGCCCAGTGCGTAACCACTACACCGCCAGGGCTCCGCTCAGCAGATAGGTGTGTTTGTAGAACTTCTTGGTAGGTTGTACCTGTGCTCGTTGTGTTTGATCAGAGGTTCTGAGCAGGGAGTTGAGTGCAGGGAACTGGTGGGAGAGTGGGGACTGTGCAGGCCCGGGGGTGCTTCTGCTCACCTCCAGTGTGTTGGGAAACCACTCCCTGTGGTCAGGCGATGACCTGCGAGAGGCTACTGCCTGTGGCCCCAGCTGTCGACAGCGTCTAGGCGAGTGAGCGGCCTCCAGAAAGCCCTTCAAACCTCACGGCTCCTGAAGCCCACGTCCGTTGGTTGCCTCTTTCTGCTATGGTATACTCCACTTTTTTTTT